TATCATACCAATACAATCTTGATTATCAATAAATTGAATTTTTTTTAAACCAAGACCTTCTCTTTCATATAATACTTGTTCTTCTTTAAGAATTCGTTCATTAAAAAATTGTTGTAATTTTTCATTACAATAACTATAAAAAGAAAAAGAAAAAAGAACTTTTTTGTTTTTGTACTGTAATCAATATTATTGTTTTTTTTTTAAGTATTATCATACTTAATACAAAATTGTTCAAATGAATTTATAGGAAAATATTCAAAACCAGCTATATCAAGAATACCAATATATGAATTTGATGAACTAAATGGTATTGATTTATTAATAAAATTAACAATTTGATCAAATAATCGTATATATATTGCTTTAGCTAATGCATCACGAGCATTTTGTGCTTCATGAACTTTTAATGGAACACTTTACAAAAAAACAAATTTAATTTTTATATTTAAATAAATAAAAAAAAACAACAACATTAAACTACTTACGGAATTATATTATCATTATTCTTACTTGTTGTTCTAGTCATTATAACTCGTGTTATTAATGCATTACGAAGATCACGTATATTAAGACCCAACATTTCAGATGTTATTGTTAATGATTGTTCTGTTGATGATGTTACTTTACAACCACCTTTTGTACTTTCAGGATCATCTTCAAAATTAATATTTCCAAGATGAAGTAAAGCTGCAACTGTACCATAAATATTTATTTTATCTTGAGTTGATAAACCCATATGATCCATTGATTGATCACATTCAATAAAATCATTTGTATCATCTAATTGTGGATCATGTAATGGTCCTTTTGAGATAAACTTAAAAGCAAAAACAAAAATATTTAATCTTTATTCATTTTTCTATTATCTAATCTTATCGAAATCTTCTTGTGTGAACTCAACCGATGGATAATAATTTCATGAGACAAGATTTTCTAATCTTGCATATCTCTACTATCTGATAGTGCTTGTTGTAATATTTTTATATTCTAACAATATAAATATGAATTAGTCAACAATTCATGTGTAATAATAATCAATTAGAAAATGTGAAAAAAGTAACTTAACAACACTAAATAAATAAACAATGTCATCACACTGTATTATTAGTTATGATTGTGTCTAATTAAAATAATAATACAACAATTATTTCTCAATCATCTAGTGACAACGATACTCGACTTTATATTTTCATATCGATATATCTCGTCTAACAAATGAAGTTTTTTTTTTTTTTTTCATTTAAAATTTATGAAAAAAAAACCATATGAGATGGTCATACTCGATAATCCATTATGATACATCTATTGAATAGATAATGATCATGATTTTCAATATTTTTTTTTTTTATATGTTTTTAACTTACATCTTGACTTAAACGATTTTTTGATAATTTATTTTCAGTTTGAGTATTACAAAAATATTGTGTACAACCACGTTTAAGATACTAGATGAAACCAAAAAATCAAAAAGAAATATTAATTGTAATGAAATTAGATATTTTTTTTTTTTTGAATTTAAATACAAACATGAAAATTATCTGGTGGACCAAGTCTTAATGCACTTCGAATACTTTCAGGTGCACCAGCACATAAACGATAGAATATATGATAATTTCGTTCATCTTGTGATTGAACACATATACGAGATTTTTCAAGTAAATAATGAGATATATAACCACCAACAACACGATACTAAATAAATAGAAGATTTTTATATGATTTTTTGAAAAACAAACGAATTTTAAATACTTTTTCATTAAAATGAACCTCAATAAATTTACCAAAACGACTTGAATTATTATTACGAGTTGTTTTTGCTAAAACAAACAAAAAAAAAACAATTAAATCTTAATGAGAAACAACAAAAGAAAATCTACCATTTCCAAATGCTTCTAATAATGGATTAGCTAAAGACAAGAAAAAAAAAACAAACATACAAAATAACAAATCAAAATTTTTGTTTGTTTACATTTATTAATACGATCTTCAATTAGACCATTATGAGAACCATATGATTCAGTTAAATATTGTAAAACATATTTAGCTGATTCTGTTTTACCTATACGAATGAAGAAACTATTTGAAAAATAATCAAAATTCAATAAATAATATCTACAAACCAGCTCCTGATTCACCAGAAATAACAATCGATTGACTTTGTCTAGTAGTACGCATATCACGATATGATTTATCACCTGAAATAAAATATTTAAGTTTCTTTTTTTTTTTTTTTCTTTACTTATGAGATGAATAAAATTAATTATATTGATTAATACTACTTAAAAGTATTTCTAAAAGTCATTAAACTAATGTTAAAATATTAAGAAAAAGTGTACACATCATTTAAAAACAAAAAAAAAAAAAAACATTTGTCAGAAGAATTTTTCTTACATCTACCTAGAATGAAATGAATTATAAGAAATTATCTTCCATTGAGTTCTAATTTATGAGTAACTATACATACGGTTAGTAGAATTCGCATACAGAAGAGATGTTGATCGCTGTCTAACGGCAGATTCAATAACCTACAACTAATATTAGCTGTAGCTCTGAATGGAAGACCGATCTGATGCAGAATTCTTGCATTCCCCCCCCCCCTCCCCCCATACACACTAACTAATTACAAGAGTAGATGTATAGCACAATGTAGTCACCATACTACCAGATGGTGGTCTGATATCGATAGTGATTCGTCCAGTGTCATTTTATAGTTGTGATGGTACCTTGCGGTAGTCACAATAGCTTTCATATTGTAGTTATGATTAACAACCATGCTAACGAATTGAAAGTTAATTTTCTTATTGAAATATTCAGAATTCATTATTAATCATGTATTTTTTTTTAATATATAATTAATTATTTACTTCAGAGATATTTCTTATTTCTCGGCTATAAAAACAAAATCCATATATATATATATATATATTCAACAATATTGAATAAGTTGGTAATTAACTTTCCTATTTGATAGCATCAGTGATGAACCTATTATTTGAGATGTCATGCAGTGTATTACAATACTGCTAAAAATTGTAAGAAAGATTCTTTTTCTTTTCTATAGTGTTGAGCATCTAATTCAATTTTTACAACTATAATAGGTTGATTCTTACAATGAAATTTTTTTAAATAGTGAACTCTCCCACGTTATCATCTTAGATCACGAATCTGAAATATCTCAAAATTTATGTACCAAATGTTTAATATGTGATTTTCTATTCAAAAATAAAAGTAATCATAATACAAATATAATTTTATCACACGATCACAATGTATTCATTATTCCCGATACTTTAGCATAAAAAAGTATGCACTGTCTTTTATTGATAATAATAACTCTTCAGCTATTTTAGGTTTATGATCTAAGTTGTAAACTTAAAAGAATTCATTATTAAAAAAAATCTCATTAGAAGAATCGATCTATGACTGCTGTACTACCAGTTCATACTGATAGATTGATTCCATCTACAAGAGTACAAAATCTGAAGTCGTCAATTTGTCTATAATTTTTCATTAAAATATTACAGACTTCATAAATAAAAATGAAGAAAAAAAATTGCCGTCGGTCGTTTTTTTTCTCCGAGCGTTGCAATTTTTTAATAGAAGGTCATAGAAAATGTAACGATCTCTTATTTTATTCAGAATTCTATGTTTTCTTAAAATGACCTTCTAGACTTAAGAAAAAATATTCTGTTTGTTTTTGTTTAAAAATTTCACTCCCGTAGTTGATTCATAGAATCTTCATAAACTATGCATTTTCATAGAGTATTTCATTAGTTATTCAAATTATGTATTTCAATTATGAATTAGATACAACAGCTATAATCTTAAATAATACTTTACATTCTCATTTGTAGTTTTCTCTTATTTTAATTTAAATCTTGTCAAATCTATATAAAATTAACATGTCAAAAAAGAAGATTTTAGCAAATATTTTATTGTTAGCTACTAAAAGAAGAATAAAAAAAGAGACTATTTATTAGATTATTATTCTACAAGAATGATATATATTTTATTTTTAAATTGAACGAATCAATTACATTTTATATTTTATACCAGATTTTCTAGGAGTAAATATTTTCCGAAGATTTTTTTGTTTTTTTTTTTGTATTATGAAAATAATTTCTTAATTAAAATTTATCATACCAATAGCAAATACATGTGGTGGCATAACACCAAGTGATTTGCCATTATATTTTTTCATTGTATCAACACTATAAACACCACGTAATTCTTTATATGGATTAATAGCAATTAAAATATTAGCTACATAATTCTATAATATAAAGAAATATATAAATATATATGTATAAATAAAATAATTTTTATTTTATATACATAAATAATATCTTTTTTATAACGACGACGAACATTATTTAATAAAGTAGCTTCATTAAGATACATAAGTGCACCTTAAAAACAAAAAAAGTAAATATTTAAATCAATTATATTATAGTATATTTACAATTATCATCGACATCTTTGTCGTATTCTTCAGCTTGAAATGCTGAATCATACGGTACAACAAGTGGCTAACAAAAAAAAAAACAATTAAAAAAATAATAATTTTTTATTTTTGTCTTCTTCTTCATACTTTTCTATTATCATTTAATTGAACAGTTATATTATCCGAAGTAATATCTTGAATTTTTCCAATAACAAATCCATGTTCATTATCTCGTATCCAAACTGGTTTATTATCGTTTAGTGTTATCATATTTCGATAGAAAATAAACTACGTTTGAGTAAACGTCACCATCATTGCGAATTTATCTTATTGGTTGAAAATATTAGACTAATGAAAAAACAATTTTGAAGATAGAAAAAAAATTTTTTTTATTTTATTTTATATAAAAAGAATTATTTTTTTTGAATTTGTTTTTCAAAAAATTTAAATAAAATTTAAATCAATTGTTTGTGGCGCTTATCATCAGCGTATTTGAATCTATATAAAAGTATAGGTGAATAGTTTCGTTTCGTTTTTCTTTTTCTTTTTTATATTAATGATGGAAGAAACTGACAATAAATATCATCAATTATCCTCAGTTAATGGTCAAACTATTAGCAGTTCATTAGAGGGAAATGGTAGAAAAAGTTTTTTTTTTTTTTTTCTGTTTTGATTTATTATGTATTTATTTATTTTTCTATAATAATAGAATCAATCGAATTATCACATATAGTTAATGAAAATGATAATAATTCAGATTCAGGCATAAGTCCAAATGATAGTGAAGTTGAAACACTCATTTCTAATCGTAAATTTTATGATCAAAAAAAAAAAAGAAATATTTTATTCATTTTTTAATGGAAACTCATTTAGGAAATCAGAAAACGGGATTATCAACAGTATTTGATGATGAAGAAGAAAAATGGTATATTGTTGGAAGTGAAGTTTTTCTTCCATTTATGATTGCTGGTTGTGGTATGGTAGCTGCTGGACTTGTTCTTGAACGTGTTAAGGTATTGATTTAATTATAATCGAGAAACTTTTAGTTAAGCAAGTTTAGTAAACTTTGATTTCTTTTAAGAACTAAAAAAACATTGAGTGTCGCATATCTCTAGTACCGAAAAGTTAAGCAAGTAAAAAAAAACCTAAAGGTGAATATGACATTTATTGAAAGTTTTTTTCCTGCTCATTGTTCGAACAATTTAACCCTAGTACTACCAGCCGGGGTCATTTTTGACTCCGACTCAAAAATTTCAATGTACACTAGAAAGATTTTGTTTTTTTTACTGGTTTTTGGAAGCAACTAGCATTTTTCATGAATAGATATACTTTTGTTGAATCTAAAAAGAAATTCATTTGTTTTCTACATTGTTACAAGCCTTCGATGGAACAACATATCTTCAGTATACAACAAACATATAACAAGAAAGGGGTACAAGTTAAATTTTCGAAATTGCAATGCAATGAATCATTTACTATTCCAACTGGATATTTCAGATCCATTAAAAAACATTTTTTGAAGTGATTTTAAACTATCCAATTAGAATGGTAGATGATTCATTTAATTGTGGATTAAAGATTGACTTGCCTCTTTTTCTTGTTTCATAGTCATTGAGTAATGTGAGGTCATTATATTATATTAAAGGTGTGTAATGGTATAGAAAAGAAATAAATTGCTTTTTAGGTTCAACAACATATATGTATTAGTAAGGGATGCTAGTTGCTGCCAAAAACCAGGAAAAAATAAAATCTTTCTAGTATATTTTGAAATATTTGAGTCCGGGTCAAAAATAACCTAGGTCGGTAGTATTAGGGTTAATATGTAAAACGTTATATACATAGGACATAATAAAAAGTACTGATTTTTGTAGATAAAATACTATAGGATAGAGTTCCTACAGTTCAGCTAAGTGAATGAGTTTGATAATTAGTCAAATATTCTTTACAGAAAAGAGAACCGACTAAAAGTCATTGTTATAACATACAGTCCTATATAGTTAAAGATAGTTTTCACAAATTTTTGATCTCTAAATGTTCTAAAGAAAAAAAAAGAAACTAATCATTTGTTCTTCAGAATTATTGATATATATTTATGTTTATATTTAGGAATTAAATGTATTTAAAGAAATAACAGAAATTTATATACTTGTTCCAGCTTTACTTGGTTTAAAAGGAAATTTAGAAATGACATTAGCATCACGTCTATCTACACAAGTATGTTTTTGTTTTTTTTTTGTTTTTAATTAATCAAAGAAAAAAACAAAAAGCTTGTCAGCACAGCTTCTTAGAGCTAATATGTCAAACTCACATGTCTTATTTCTTTTAGCTTCATTATACTAATACAAAATATGTTAGTCTTATTTATTTTCAGAAATTATTATTATATCTACAACAGATCTCAATGTATTATTATATATCTCGATAAGTTTAGAAATATTGATTTCGATTATTCTTGAAAGCTAAAAATTGATGAGATCATACTTTTATTATTGACTATATAACGATTGTAACGAATCAAAACATCACTAATCATTATCTTTGATATCTAGCTATTGGATATCTTAACCTTGTTGCTAAGAAACTATAGAAAAGGAGGTAGGAAGTTGTGAATCCACATTTTTTGTTGATTCGTAGCTCTCCTACATTGATTGCATAGAATATATATTCTTGCTTGATCTCATTTATATAAATACAATTATTTCATAGAGCTGAAGAGTATGGTATTACTGTTGATTTGATGAATTTTGTTTATCAATTAACTATTCAATTTACTTCTTTTTGCTAATATAATTCTTTTTTCAATTAACCGAAAATTTTTAATTTATTAAACATCGAGTAATGGGAAAGTGAACAACAAGAAATAACTGTACGTTGACTTTTTTCTTCTGAGAGAAGTCAATAAATAGCTAAAATCTTAATCCTTTACTTATTCTTGTACAAAGGAGAATGTTAAATAATGATGAAAAAAAAAAACTCGGGTCCAAAAATTTAGCTTTTCTTGGATTTGCAGTATTGATCTATATTCGCATTGTCATGCTTTAATCTCTGAGTTGGTATGAGAAGAGAGCTATAAAAGCCTCGCCTTATTACTTACACTTATTATTTTTCTTTGTCGAATATGTGAATTCAACAAAAGACAAATGAAAAAGCAAAAAAAAAATTTTCATTATTTAGGCTAATATTGGAAATATGGATAAAAAATCTGAACTTCAAAGCATGATTTTTGGAAATATAATTTTAACACAATTACAAGCTATTATTGTTGGTTTTTTGGCTGCTATTGTATCACTTGCTATGGGTTGGGTACCACAAGGACATTTTAATATTCGACATGCACTTGTTTTATGTAGTAGTAGTGTTTCAACAGCATCCATTGCTTCATTAGCTTTAGGTTTGTAATAGATATGTCGATATATATTGTCCATTATCATTATCCTTTTTGTATATATTATTTATACTATTCTATCAAGAAAAATATTTTTCTATCGATTATTTCTATACGTTTCATCTCAATTTTGATGATTCTATTTTCTATTTATATCATAATTAGAAAACTTATATTGATATTGATGATAATAGATATAATTTTATATATTAATAAGTTATCTTTTTTTTTCTTAAGGTGGAATAATGATTCTTGTTATTGTCGGATCTCATAAATGTAAAATCAATCCAGATAATATTGCTACACCAATAGCAGCATCATTAGGAGATTTAACGACGCTTACTATTTTAGCTAGTATTGGTGGTTTTTTATTTAAAATTATTGGTAAGAATATAGTATATATATATTTGAAAATTTTTATTTGTTTTTTTTTTTGTTGATTTAGATAATTATACATGGTTACCTATAATGATTACAATTATTTTTTTAATTTTAACACCAATATGGATTGTAATTTCTTATCGAAATGACTATGTTAGAGATGTACTTATTCATGGATGGTATATAAAAATATTTCTAAGAATATATATACTCCTGGAAAAAATAAACGCTCCTCTGTATTTTGAGGATATTGTTATCATATGAACATATTTTATGAAAAGTAACTACATATTCTGAAAGCCCGTGAAATTTTATATCAGCCTGTATATTTGCATTTTCGTTTGAATATATATATTACTAAAAACATTGAATGCAATGAAGGTACCCTCATGTATAGATTCCCACAGATTTGCTTTTGTCATTGTCATCAAAATTAGTTTTTAAAATTTTCTATCAGTATAGAGTTATCTTTTGAAAAAAGTAATTATATATTCTGATAGAGCTTGAAATTTTCTGTCATTCTGTACACTTCTGTCTTGCCTTGCATTTATGTGCTGAATAGACTGCAGCACATAACTGCAAAATAATTAACAAATATACAGGATGATAGAGAATTTTAAGCTCTATCAGAATCTGTGATTGCTTTTTAAAAATAAATTTTCACACAGGAATAATACATTTCAAAGGAGAAGTCCAGAAGCAATGAATAATGCACATTTTTTGTACTTGTCATTTGACAGTGTGTTCACTATACTCAAATTTTCTTACCAATAAATGAATACAAGGAAATACGTAAATATACAGAGTGATAGAGAATTTCAAGCTCTATCAGAATATATAATTACTTTTTTCAAAAGATAACTCTATACTGATAGAAAATTTTAAAAACTAATTTTGATGACAATGACAAAAGCAAATCTGTGGGAATCTAGACATGAGGGTACTCTCATTGCACTCAATGTTTTTGGTAATATATATATTCAAACGAAAATACAAATATACAGGCTGATAGAAAATTTCACGGGCTTTCAGAATATGTAGTTACTTTTCATAAAATATGTTCATATGATAACAATATCCTCAAAATACAGAGGAGCGTTTATTTTTTCCAGGAGTATATATGTATATTAGAAATAAGTTGATTTATTATAGGTCACCAGTTATAGCTGCAATGTTTATTTCAAGGTGAATAGAATATTAATTTAGTTTTGGTTGATGAAGTTTTTGTTTTTGAAATAGTGCTGGTGGTCTTATATTGGATTTTGCTGTTCAAACACTTCGTGGTGTTGCTGTTTTTCAACCTGTTATGAATGGTAAACTGTTTTTTTTGTCTTACAATTTTCGAAGAAATCGTTTTTGATTAATTGAAGAAAAGTATCCTTATTTAGTCAATTACATGACACAATATTTTTCCGTCTGTAGAAAAATTGAAGTAGGGGGGAACGATATCAGAGAATGCCAAAAGAAGAATTTCGACACAACGTTATTAGATGACGTACGAAAGCCAATGAATTTATATTTATGATGCGACAATTTGTTGATATAGTTCCTAATCAATGAGATAAGTTTATGATAATCAAAACGAATGAAAAGTCATATGAACTAATTGAGAGTTTTTCCCTAGTATAGTTGTCTGAAATTTGTTTAATAAATTTCTTATGAAAAAAGAAACAACAAAAAAAAAAATTTTTTTTTTACAGAATTTGCCAGACAAATCAACTTAGAACTTCGACTAGAATACCTATAACTCCTGAATGATTAATTCTAAGCATCTGAACTTTGTAGATCTTCCTATTGAAAATGTTAAGAAAGTCATATTGAAAAATCTATAATTTACGATTTGATACAACTTCATCTCTTCTTTTAAACGATGAAAATCGCAGTTCTCTAGCTAGCTTCTATCAAAAGTTATTCAGATACTATCCACTAAATAGACATTCGTATATTCAGTTCATATGATAGAAAAATAGGTCTTATCGAAATTTTATTATTATTGTATTAGTCAAAGTATATAATCAAATAGCATAGAAAAATAAAGTATTCTTTTCTCTATCAGACTATATAGAAAGAAAGTTTCTTAAAACTTTTTATAAGACATTACAGTATCATTTTCATTACTTTTTGACTGCCCTATGTAAGTCATAAAACGAGTATTGAAAAATTTTTACGAATAAATTCTGGAATAGTTTTGTTAGACCGAAACTACCGAGTAGAGCCCATCGGATCCAAATTCAAAAAATTATAATCGATCGAGTCTCGGTCCGAAAATTTTTGAATCCGATGGGCTCTACTATTGAGACTAGTAGAAAAAAGCTACCGGAATCGGGATCAAAAACAATTGGTTCTGCATATCTCTAGTTGCAATAAACGCATGCTTACTACGACAGTTATATTTCGAATTATAGAAATGAATTAGAGTGAATATTTTCTCGAATGACTAATTATATCTAAAGAAATAACAATAATTATCTATTAGAGATTTATTTTATTATGTATTTAATGTTAGTATTATATAGCTGAATAAAATATGTAATATTTTAGTTTATGAAGAATTGGACTGATAAGTTATTTTTTGTTTAGGTGTTGGTGGTAATTTAGTAGCTGTTCAAGCAAGTCGACTTTCTACTGCTCTTCATCAACATGGTAAACCAGGAGAATTTAAAGATCGTGCACATTATTATGCTTCAAAAATTTGTCCTAATCCATATAAAGTTTTTCTTTCGAATAGTATGTTCTTATTATTTTTATTGAATCATTCAAAATATTTGAAGATTACTTTCTTTTTTTTTTAGAAAATAATTCATCCACAACACGTGTTTTATTATTTATGTCTATACCAGGTCATCTAACATTTGTTTTTATTATTTGGAAATTAGCAGTAAATCATCCTCGAATTTCGATTCTTTTTGTATTTTTATACCTTATAGCTGCATTTATTCAAGTAAAGTATTCGTTTTATTTTTTTCTTCTATTAAAATTTAATCTTATATTAAATAGGTTGCTATTCTTCTATACATTGCCCAATGGATGGTAGCTTATACATGGAGACATGAACGTGATCCAGATAATGTATGCATTCCATATTTGACAGCTATTGGAGATCTACTTGGTACTGCATTACTTACTTGTGTCTTTCTTTTACTGCCGTCTTCTATTTAGATTCCTTTTTTTTTTTATTTGTATATATCAAAAAAAAATAATAAAATGAGAGATTATTTGTTATTGGTTGAATATTTTCTTTAAATTGTGAATTGTTTCTCTTTTATTGATATGTTAATCTGATTGTTAAATATGGATATTGAAATAAATTAATAAAAAAAAAAAAACAAAAAGAAAATTTGGGAGTATTTTATATGTGTTTTTTTTTCTGATTATGATGCCTGTCGTCTATTGGTATGGAAGAATCGATATATAATTATTAATGTGTGTATATAAGAGAGAGAGAGGAATTCGGTGATACAATGATAATTTCTTTTTATTTTGATTTCATTGTTGAGATATTGAAAATTCTGATAGTTCTTTAATTGTATACAGTATTTGTATAAATGATTTTAATTCAATCATAGTCTTTATATTAAAATTTTCATATGATTCTATAGAGCTTAAATCTTGCTAGTTTTAACCATTAATATTTCTATTTAGATTCTTCTAATCTAAAGTAGAATCAATAACAGACTAGTATGTTAATTATTTAACCAACTGGTTTTATATTTCTCTGTTAATCAGTAATCAATCCAATTTTATTATTTCTGGTTGGTTCTATTTGCGTCATAAATATATTTTCCAATTAGTGTAACTATTTTTAGCTTAAGAAAATAGAATATTTTGAATAAAAAGCAGATGCTGTATAGGATCAACGAAGACATCTAAACAAATGTATTATTCATAGTTAGTCTACACATTAGTTTAGATTACTTTGTATTGTATATCTTACGAATTATGATTATATTAAATCCAATGGTAAAAAAACAACAAACTATTTATGATTTTTTGATTATTATCTTGCATATTTTTCATATTAGTCAATAAAAAAAAATGTAATTTTTGCTGAAATTGATCTTTTAGAATGTGACAGTCACGTATTTGTATTTTGATTTATGGTAAAGCGAATATATATGATTGATAGCAAATGTTCTATCAAAATTGTAGACATATTTCATCTAGAATAGAAAATTTCAGACTAGGAGAAAAAAAAAAAAGACTTTTTTTATTATTATTCTCTAATCGATAAGCTTATGAGAAATTTGTTTTTTTTTTTTTTTACACTCGTCATTATTTTTCTTATACTTCATTTAATGAGGAAAAACTACATGGTATGTTTTGTCGTCATATCTTATCCAAATTGATAAGTAGACTTCTCTTTATATATGTATAATATATCATTGATTATCAACAGTAGTATATAAACATTACCATTTATATGTCATATTGTTATACGAAGTCGAGCAGAATTAACAACAGAATTACGATCATAAAGATCAAGTACATGTATAGAAAATAATTCTTAAACAAAAAAAACAAAAACAAAATATCTACTAGAATAATGAACAATATAATAATGCTTAATCTTTCTTTTTTTTTCTCTCTATTAACCATACTTTCAATAATCGATATTGGTATGTATAAAATTTATTTTATCAAAAACAAAAACAAAAAGAAAAAGAAAATAAAACTTTATTTTAGTATCATCTA